AACATGGCAGCAGACCAATGAGCGCTTTTGTCAAGCTCTCCTAGTATATTTGCCCCTTTCTGGGTGAACTGTAGGCAGTGGGGTGTTGGGAAATCTTTACCAATAGGCTCTGGAGAAGGGGAAGCCTCCTTTGTAGCATGATTTTCATGGTGTGAATCCTCCCCCCATGACCATTTTACACCAACAATATGACGCCACTACATGTGGAGCTGGGAGAGCTGGGCAGTCACTCAGCAGTAGACAGTATTTCCAGCAGACAGACATGACATGACGTAAATATCCTTGGGCACAGATAGTAGTAAAAAGGAGTCAAATAACCATAAAGTGCTGAGTTTGGATATTTCATACTTTTGTTCTTAATATAATTTAATTTTTAATTGTGGCCATATACCATCCAGCTTGCATAATTTCTGAAAAAGCAGCATTTCACAGACACAGGTTTCCCGAGAGGACCTTCTTCCTCTAGTCAGCACACACCTGGGTGGCCTCACCAAGCACTCAGGACACCAAGTGTTCCAGCCAACCCAGGCAATGCGGGGAGACTCTGAGGTCAAGGGTTTCATCCCCCACAGGAAACAACCGTGGGCTGGGCTGCCCCGGGCTCCCACACACCGGAAGCTACTCAGGTGCCAGCAAACCTGCAGAGGATAGAACCTCTGCCCAGGGCAGAACCCCTTGCTGGCCACTGCTGGGATCCAGATGCCAAGGACAGGGCCGGAGGGGACAGGATCTCAAGGGGCTGAGGGATGCCACCTTTAGCCTGTGGTAGGGACCAGGCAGAAAGGGGAGCTACCATCACTCTGTTGTCAGACAGTAGATTCGATTCTGTCCCCTTAAAGTAAGGAAAAGGGGCCAGGGCAGGCTTTCACAATAGTCTTTTATTACAGCTGGAAACTGTGGAACCCCTTCCTATAATGGACAACGGACTGACACGCACAGTAAACACAGTAACAAGTCCCTCAGGAATAAAATAGCTCCAAGGTTGTTCTGCAGCGCCCTCTGGCATTGGCAGGGGGGATAACAGGAGAGTGGTGAGATGATATGGTTGGAAGGGGCTGGAAGGCAGCCTCTGTCCCTACAAGGACACAGGAGACAGCTCAAAACAGGTACCATGTGGCCCAGCCTTGTGTTCTCCTGGCCCCTGGTTGCCAGTCACTCTGCTGAGGGTGGAGCCCAGGGCAGGATCACTGGGCTCTGAGCAGGTCCTGGAGGTGCAGAGAGCTTGGAGGAGCCACCACAGGTCCAGTGAGTAGTCCCATGGGGCCAGCTGGGGTATGGGTGTGGTGTAGACATCACAACCCTCTTGTAACCCCTCCTTTTGCACCTGGTATCACAATCCCACACCGAAGCTGCAGATAGGAGTGTGACTGATGCAGTTCTCTGTGCAAACTCAATGTGAGGCCAGCCCTCCTGGACTCATGGTTCCTTGGGGATGATGGAACGGAGATGCTGGAACCCAGGACCAGGAGTCAGTGACCCCAACTCAGACCCCAGCTTTGCCACTCGCTGCCTGAATCCTGTGCAGTTCTGTGCTGACTCACGTCTCTCAGCCTCAGTTTCCATCCCTGCCAGGTGAGAACGATAATACCTGGCCACACAGAGGATTAGAAGATTATGTCCAAGGTGCCCAGCTGGCAGAAGATGCATAATCTGTGTTTCCTCTGTGGCATGTTCTTATGGATGGCAGAGACTGGGGCAAATGTGAATCAGCAGAAATGAGGCACTTCAGGTCAGTGGTACTTTGATAAGGTCTTTTGAGACTTGGAAAGTAGGTCTTTCAGGACCATTCAGAGCAAGCCTGCCGAGACCCAGGCCCCAGGGTTCCCCTCATCCTCATCACAGGGACCCATAGCCTCCACTGCTCCTTCTTATGCACAGGGCACAGCCTGGACTCTTTCAGAGGGACTTAAGGGGCCCTGAACCAGCAGCTCTCCACCTTGGAACAACCTGAGTCTGGTGGGTCACCAATCTCCAGACCTACCCTGGTTAGACTTTCATCTAACTGTCCCAGGTGCAGCCTGGCAGCAGTAGGTTCAAAAGCCCCTGGGCCATTCTCATGTGCAGTAGAGCTGGGAACCCTTGCCTCAACCCACAGTCTCAGTTGCTGGGAACCACAGCCACTTGGTGTCAGCCCAATCCTCCCTGAGGGTGATTTGCGTGGTGGAGGGGTCGCTTCACCCAATCAAGCCCACTCCTCTGTGTCCCCTGTGACTGGACCCTCAGTCACACTCTGAAAGCTTTAGTCCAGAGCCCCTGTCACCAGTGGCCCTGTCTTCTACTCCACCTGTCACCTGGACCTCACTGCTTCTTGCTACCAAACTCATCTCTCCCTGATAGCCACACACTTGGCTGGGCCCTGCTGACAAAGGGGCTGTTACCGCCTTCCTTCAGGGGCTGCCAAGTGGCTAAGACTGTGGTGGTCATCTGTGAAGAAGCACTAAGGAGAGAGGACACTTCAGGAGGTGGAAATGCTTCCAGTAGAAATAAATTTCCCCTTTATAATGGTGGGGTCATGTATGACCCCTCTTTGTATCCACAGGTCCAAGCACAGAACCTGATTTGTGGCTGGCACCCATTGGGATGACTCAGGGCAAGCCTGCTGAGTCCCCAGCCCCAAGGTGCCCCTCATCCTCACAGCAGGACCCATAGCCTCCACTGCTCCTTTTCAAGCTCAGGGTACAACCTGGACATACATGAATGAATGAATGAATGAAGGAAGGAAGGAAGGAAGGAAGTTGGGACTCCATGTTGGGTTCCCAGCCTCTGAACTTTTTGTGAATTATCAGATGTCTGACTTGTTACTTTGTTCCTCTGATAGATGTGTAACTCCAACCTGCACACCACTCCAGATTCGTGCTTCTTCTGCATCTGCTCAGATCCAGTCCTGGGCTGGTGCCTATATTCCATCACACTGACATTGCTTTTCAGGGCAGCCTCATGGTTACAGGGTGACCCTCAAGGCTTTTCTTAACTGCCCCAGCCTGGGAGGTTAAGGGTAAGTGTCCCTCAACCTCCCAGGCTGGGGCAGTTAGGGAAAGTGTGAGAGGTTAAAGGTAAGTGTAGGAGGTGATGGCAAGGAGAATGAAAGTCTGGAAGAGTCAGTCCCTGGGGCACCCTAGCTCCTCTGAATCCTGGTAGGGCCCGAGACTCATCCTGCATCCCATGGAGGCTCACGCCTCTTACCACAGTTGCAAGGGTGGGCAGCTCTCGGGCAGCCCTAGTCAGAGTCTACAGCTATGACCAAGTCTCTGTTGGAATTCTCTGTCTCCTTGTCCTGGGGTCTCCCCTGCAGCTGTTGCCCTGCTGGGATCTCACGCAGCTCAACTCACACATCTAGAGTTATTTTGTCTTGGCTGTCCCCACCTGGGACAGGGGTCTTGAGGTTGCCTTCACGGGGCAAACATTGGTATTGCCAGGGCAGTACACAAAAGCTCCCATTCCTGCCAAGCCTACCTAGGAGTCCTGAGCCTGGTTTCACTCTGATTTTCTAGGCAAATTCACTGCTTCCTTGGAACCCAGCTCATCCCTTTGTTTCTTCTGAACTCCTTGGGTGACCTGTCAATCCCCTTCTCTCTAGAGACTTCCTGCAAACAGGACTCCCTTCCTAAGGGATCTAAGGAGTTTGCTTCTTTCCCTGAACCACCCCAGCCCCGCAGTTCTGCAGATGTCAAAAACCAAAAGAGGCAGATCCGTAGAGAAATGGGAGCTCAGAGGCCGACCAATGGTGCTGCATGTTTTCCTTCCCAGTGTGAAGGCCGCCACAGCCAGGACCACAGCCAGGAAGACCCCAGCAGGGATGGCAGTGCTGTGATAGCTTCCCTGGGAGCTGGCCATCTCCTCCACATCAGCCACCAACAGGTCTAGGAAGGAGAGGAGATCGCAGTAATAGAGTAAGGACAAGGATGGAGCCTGGCAGAGGAGAAGAGGAAGACAAGCAAAGACCGTGGCCCCTATGCATGGTAAAGGCAGTCAGAACTGTTTGGTGGCAAGGGATTAAAAAACTTGGAAAAGGAAGTGCTAGATGGGAAACTGAGGACAGACCGCAATGGGCAGCTGAGTGTCAGCCAAGGAGAGTCAGGGAAGGTTTTCTGAGCAGAAACTGGGAACTGGGCTTTGGGAGAACAAATCTAGCCTGAGGCTCCAGATGGATAGGAGGGGAGAGAGTTGGGCATTTTAGATCAGCTGGAAAATGATCACAAGAGTCCTAGGTAAGAGGCCCCCAGGACGTGAGCTACTGCAGCGGCTGCAGGGAACAAAAGGGAGAGAAGGAAAGTTAGCCTGTGCCAGCAGGTGCCGTCGCCCTGCCCTGCTGTCCTTTGCTCCTCACTCCCGCCCTGTTGCATGTACCATGCATGAGACTTACTCTGAATTGCATCTTTTCCTGTAAGACTGTAAGCCCCTCAAGGGCATGGATTTGATCTACATCTGTTTATTGATCTGCCTCTTGGCACATAACAGGCCTTTATTCAACATGCATTGAATGAATGAATAAGTGAGGAAAGAGTGCGGAATCAGCTGGACATGAAGATAGCCTGAATAGGAATCAAGATGAGAGAGAGCTGTCAAAGATGCCCGTGGGCAGCGCCCTGACCAAGGAGAGGGTATGTGACAATTACTGCTGCCCCATCCACCCCCAATGCCATGGCCACCACGTCCATTGACCTGGCCCCAGCCTGGGCCAGAAATTCTGGGCATCACTCTGCAAACATTCATTCCCTCATCTCACACCCACAACACAGCCGCAGGTGCGCTCCCTGTTCTAGAGGAGAAAAGTGACATGGCTTGTGCCGAGCAGAGCCTGCCAGTGGTCAGAACAAATCCATGCTGCTGGCATCCCCACAGCCCTGTCTAGACCCTGATGTCAACACGTCGGCTGTTATAGTTATCATCATTGTGAGGAATACTGTCATCATGTGTTGTTAACACGGGTGAAAACAACAAGAGTAACAAAAACTACCGTTTACCAAGCACTCAATGACTTGTACCAGGCACAGGCTGAGGCAGTTTCTCCAAAATTCCTTTATGTAACTCTCTCAACAGTGCTAAGAAGTAACAACATTTTCATTTTGCAAATAGGAAGCATGGGTTCTGGGAGGTCAGGTTCGTGGGACATCCAGGTCAAAACTCTCTGGACCATGCCCTTCAATGGGTCCTCCAAGGACTATGAGCCTTGGGGGAGGCGGGAACCAGGTCTGATTCAACTCTGTATGGCCAGGTGTATCACAGTGGAGTGCTCAAATTTGAGTTGGAACATGAAACCACGAGAAACATCCCAAGTCCCCGAGAGTCAGGGGTGTGCGCCCCGCTGGCCAGTGGAGTCTGAGAGCGACCACCTACCAAGGCTCCTCTTCTTGGCGTGGTGGGTCTGCAGCTGGATGGGACCCAGGACGACATCCACCTTTTCCTGGTAGGAGCCCACATCCCTCTTGGACCTCACCACGCAGCCTCGGTAGCAGCGGGAAGAGTAGTCATACGCCCTGCACACCACCATTTTACACTGCAGGTACACGGAGGGGAAGCGGCTCAGGAAGTGGAAGGCACTGAACCGGAAGCGGGCAATGCCAGGAGACGGCTGTGCGTAGGGCCGGTAGCTTTCATCTTTCACGCATCTGAAAGAGAACAGCAGCCCCTTAGCTCTCACCAAGGCACGATTCCTCATGACTCAGCCATGCCAGGTGAGAAACTCCACAGCCTGTCCTCACTGCCCTGGCATCCTGCACACCTCACCTTCCTTCTGTCAGAACATGTGGCTCAGACACTTACTGCGGGGCCTGCAGACAAATCCTGGCAACTGAGGTACCTCACTGGTATCTTTAGGCAGCAAATCCTGGCGGGGCTTTCCCAACAGATAAGCAGGCCCCATACTGCATAGTGGGTTGGGGCCTAATCCCACAAAGACCACATCCTCGATGGCCCCAGGTAAGCCAGGTGAGTCAGGGAAATAGCTGGAGTTTAGAGCCTAGGAGCAGGACCCAGAGACAGGGCAGAAAAGAAAATGACCTTTCCTTCTCTCTCCTGGTGCCAGAGCCAGGCAAGGTCCCATCCGGCTGCACTCTGAGTACAGTGTCCTGGCCCTCCTTCTCCCAAGACCAATCTCTCCTGACCCTCCTCAGCCTGCTCTGAGCTCCAAGAGCTGTACTTTCCACACTGGCCTGCAAACCCTCCAGGAGCCCCTACCCCAGTATCAACTCTATCCTCTTTCCCTCAGGCATCTCCTCTCAGGTGGTGTCAGAAGGAAAATAACCTCAGGATATACTTACAGGAATTTTCCTAAGATATGGAAGAAGCAGCTCACACTACCCCAGTTATTATAGAATGGTGGGATTTTGAAGGACATAGGAAAGAGAAGAGCCAGGACAGCTGGCCCACAGGCCCAGGATGGGCATTTCTCACAGGTGGTGGGTATAGTCTCCATGGCAGCCTGGCTGCACCCAGGAACCTGGCCAGGACCCACTCCCCTCCTTCTGTCTTCCAGAGCCTCCTTCCCTCCTCCATGTGCAACCCAGATTCTCTTAAACACTGAGATTTTTTTTTTCACAGCAGTTCCCTTAGTGGCAAAGGAGGAAGCAAAAATAGCCAGAGGCTTGTTCAGAGGTGGGGTCCTTGGGAAAAAGGTTAGGGTCACTCAGAAGCCTCCGGGCAGTCACTGTGTTTGTCATAAAACCCTACCATTCAGGGCTCCACACAGACCAGAATGCCACAGCCAGGCACAGCCAAGGCTACACCTTGGAATCACTCAAGGAGTGCTTTCAGTGGCCCAGAATCATGCACCTGCCACATGGCAAAGCTGGTAATTCAACCTTGGTCTGCTCCAAATCAATGCCTTTCCCACTATACACAGGTCTTTTTAACCCTATGGCTGGAGTTCAGTCACCTGAAGTCTAATCCCAGTTTACAGCTAACGTACTGGGTGAACACTGCTGAGCTGTCTATCCTCCCCAGGTGTTAACTGGAGATGATACACGGTCATCCTACCTGATGAGAAATCAGGGATGTGATACAGAACACAGAGTAAAAGCACTTCAAAAGGTAAAGCTGCAGGACGCTACTACAGGTAGAAAGGGATCTAGTTAAGCTTGAAGCCCTGGGAACTGCAGTTCATCAAAATTCGCATTCCTTAAGCCTTTGAGGCTACTGGTGTTTGAGTTATCAAGTAAAGGTTTAAGGCCATTGCATAAAGACACTCCTTACCCGCTCCGGATTAGATCATAAGTCAAAGACGTGAAGTCATTGTAGTATGGTGATGCCACACAGGTGTCCACAAACAAGGCCAGCGTGGCATCAGAATGGAGGATTTCAGCCTGAAGGTACAAGTCCTGGTTCAGGTCCACGTAGTAAGGGCTGCTGGTCACAGGATACAAGAAAGAGGGGGAAGAATAAAAGGAAATGTTCACGTCGAAATTGCCATATTGCACTTCTTCGACCCGGATGGTGTCATTAGCAATGTACATGGTGTTGACCCAGGTGTTCTGAAGCATCCTGCAGCTGACGTGAATAAGTAGGTCCTTCCTCCTCTTGATGATGCCATGGGAGACAGCTGCTTTGAGGAAGTTGGAATAGTTGATGGTGTCATTGTCTACCTAGGAGGGGCAGGCAGGAGAGCAGAGTCAGGCACATGTCACCTGCTAAGGGAATCCCATGGCTGATTTGGGTGTGAATGAGACGGACAACATGACGCTACAAGACTTCCACCCCTCCCAGAACCACTCAGAGATGGCGTGTGCCTATCCTTTGGCTACAAGCAGGCAGAGGGCGCCAGAGTCCACACTCTGGGTCCAGGTCTGGGGAAGAGCCAAATGAAGGGGTTCTGCGTTCTCCACCTGCTCTTAGTGTATGTTTTCTGACTTTAAACTGTCTTAAAAAAAGGTTTTTTTGCTTTATATTCCAGTGCCAACAGTTGTCACAATAAACCGTATGACTTAACAATCAACCATATGACCCTTCTTACTCTTTCAAAGACACTCTCAAGAGCTTTCCGTTGAACTCTATATGTTAACATAAATATTTGCGTGGATGTCACATTTGCATATGGCGTCTATGATGGAAGTAAACTCTGAATCCACTCCAAACAATGCACATGGAATGCAGATTTATTTCTTGGTCAGAAGAAGCAGATCTGATTTTAGATTAAAATCCATTATTAGATACTGCTCAGTTTGGAAGGAAGTCAGTTTGGTATGTAATGGAAAGTCTTACAGATAAGTCAATGGGTATTTCCACAGAGACAATCCATCTCGTGGTGGGAGGGCCTCATCTAGCTCAGCCACACCAGCAAACTTTTATCACATATCTGCTAACCAGGCCAGCCTGGTGCAGCTGTAGGGAGCTCCAGCCATGGATCGCCCAGCCCTACGTCTGCGTCTAGACTCGCGGGTCACGGCCATTATTGCCTTGGGCAAGTGGCTTACCTTCTGCAAGTCTTTGTTGCCTCATAATTAAGTGGGAATAAAGTTGTCCTGATAATTTTAAAAGTCAGATAGCACACTTGGTTCAGTGCCTGGCATCCATATGAGCTGTTGATAATACTATATCAACTCTTAGGCTCAGGACTGGGGTACTGGGGGTTGCAAAGATGAACAAAGCATTGGCCCTGCCCCTGAAGCACTCAGTGTGATAGGCAATATGAGTATTTAAAGAAAATAGAGGAGGCCAGGCACAGTGACTCATGCCTGTAATCCCAGCATTTAGGAGGCCAAGGCAAGAGGATCACTTGAGCTTGGGAGTTCGAGACCATCCTGGAACACATAGCAAGATCCCACCTCTACAAAGAAAAACTGTTTAAATTAGCTAGATGTGGTGGTGCATGCCCATAGTCCCAGCTACTCTAGAGGCTTAGGCTGGAAGATCACTTAAGCCCAGGAGTTCAATTCTGCTGTGAGCTATGATCTGCCCCTGCACTCCAGCCTGGGCAATAGAATGAGAACCTGTCATTAAAAAGTTAAAATAAAATAAAAATAAACAAGTGGAGGAATAAGAATGTGGCATGTGCTATGCATGACCAGCCAAGTGGGCAGAAACAGGGCGACAGGGTTGTCTGGCTGCTCCAAATGGGTGTGAACGAGTGTGAATGGTTGTGAATGGGTGTGAACGGGTGTGAAGGGCCCTCAGCAGAACCACTCAAGTATCAGTCTCCAGGATGCATACTTGGCACAGGGGCAATGGTCACCTTCAGTGGACTGACCTCCATTGACCAAACTCACAACAAGCCAGAACTCAACACAATTAAGGCCGGCCACAGTGGCTTACACCTATAATCCCAGCACTTTGGGAGGCCAGAGCGGGTGAATCACCTGAGGTCAGGCGTTTGAGACCAGCCTGGCCAACATGGTGAAACTCTGTCTCTACTAAAAATACAAGAAAATTAGCTGGGCATGGTGGCAGGCACTTGTAATCCCAGCTACTCAGGAGCCTGAGGCAGGAGAATTGCTTGAACCTGGGAAGCAGAGATTGCAGTGAGCCGAGATCGTGCCACTGCACTCCAGTCTGGGCAACAGAGGGAAACTCTGTCTCAAAATAAATAAATAAATAAATAAATAATCAACAAAATTAAGGTACAGGGTGAAATACAAAAGCCAGTTTGAATAGAACACATGTGTGGCATGCCCAATATACACTCATCTTTGCAAGTAAATCTACCAGGCCCATTAAAGTCCTCTCCAAAGCGGAAATGGTGTATTGGAGCCTAAGGGAGCCAGGTGACCACATGCCTGCTGCAGGCCCTTAGAACCAGCCTCCAAAGCCCAGGGGCCCAGCCAGCTGCTACATGAGAGTCCCTTTGCCCCTCAGTGTTTCTTGTGTGTCAAAGAGCGGGGTTGACTTTGCCAGGTAATGAACAGCATGACCTTGGCACCTAGCATGGTGCCTGCCACATGGCGCCTGCCACCCAGCAAACAATAGGACATTGGTGAATGAACATGATCCCGACAAACCGAAGCCATCTGAACGTGTGTGTGCCAATGTGCATGCTCTGTGCCATTCATGCCGTGTATACTCTACACTCCCAAGCCAAATAAAAGCATTGGCAACTTTTTCTGTCTTTGCTTAAAATAATTATTTAGGTTCGAGACAAAAATTCAGAATTTAGAGTGGCTAACTTAGAATAAATTTATGCAAAGTTAAATGCCACTATGACAATGTCCTGTTCAATGAGGCCTGATATACGATTGCTACAATAAGAGTCAGAGCAACTCCAGCCCAAGCAGCTCCTTCCTGCCCCTCTGCCATCTGCCCCCTCTGCTGTTCATCCCTACCACTTCCTGGCTGAGTAGCCTTGGTGATACCTCAACAAATGGTAGCTGCAGAGGCCAACTGACTGTGGAGCTAATGAAGCTGGAGCTTTGGGGCACCCTCTGCCCTGCCCGGTGCAATGTGCAGGCCTCCTCCAAGGCCTAGCAATGTTTTTGCACAGCCACACGTTTTTACAAAACTTATAAAAGTTCAGTCAGTTGGCCTCTGCAGCTACCATTTGTTGAGGTATCACCATCTGAGATGACTTCTGCATCCAATTCTGGGTGAAAGTGAAGCCAAAATGGTGTGTCCCTTCTCTACAGGCTTGAAGGTGGCTGCAACTATGATTATACTGAAATTTTCAACAGCTCCTACCACAGGTTTCTGTGGTTTGCCTGGGACTTTGCAGATTTTAGCATAGAAAGTCCTACGTGTTCCAGGAAACCCCTCACTCCGGGCAAACGGGGACAGGTAGTGACCCTACAGTGGCAGATGCTGTGATTCGTCCTCGTCACACTCCCCCAGTTCTCATCGAGTATTCTATCATCATCCCCACTTTATGGGGGAGGCTGAGCCGAGAGGCACCAAGGCTACTCAGCCAGGAAGTGGTGGGGCTACTGTTGGCATCTGAGAAGGCAGAAAACATTATGCTGAGCAAAGAAAGCCGGATGGAGAAGAGTGGGTGTTCTGTGATTCCATTCATATGAAACTTAGAAAGAGAAAGTAAGCGTGTAATGACTGAAAGCTGGTATCTGGCTGCCAGCTGCCAAGCTGGCAGGCTGATCCCTTGTATTCTTTGGCTTAATAAAGCCCCTGCCCCTCTCAACACCCACCCCCCAAAACCCTAACTATATAAACTTCAGGCCCTGCAAAATCTGGAGCTGCCCCAGGAGCTGCTGTTGTTACTGCTGATGGGAGAGGCAGCCTGCCAGATGCCCTCTCTGCTGAACACAGCTGGAGAGGCTCTGCCTGCTAAGCTTCCTTCCTCTTATTTGGAAGTGACTGCAGCCATATCACAGCATCAAAGGTTTATCTTCCTTTATTCCGATTATGTCCTGATTATACCCAGATCATAATTTCTATATCCCCAGAATTCAAAAAGCACAGCACATACCACTATAAGAAAGCTTGTGCACTGGGACATGGAGTGGAAAGCCCCAGGCTTACCTGCTTGATGGTGCCGCAGCCTGAGTAGGGAATTGTGAATATCACCTGGCTCGGTGTTATCTGGGGCCGACACTGGTAGTATCCGTTCCAGTTGGAAATGACAAGGTCACTGGCAGAAAAGCCCAGGGACTGGAGGTAGCTCCTGCTCACACTGGCTCGCATGTGATTCGGCAGACAGAGCAGGTCTAATGGACAAGGACACATAAGACACTCAGTCAGCGCCCTGGACTCCACAAGTATTATGGGGCCGGATGCTCTTTCCACTTAAAAAGTACAAAGATCAGGGTGGCTGACAGGGAGAGTCAGCACTTAGGATGTGGGCATAGGCCTCATTGCAACCCCCAAGGTACCCTGGGGTCAAGCCAGCCCCAAACTTATGAAAGCCCAAGGAGAGCACGTGGAGTCAGGATTCCTCTGATGGAGAAGTGGAGGTGGGATTTTTAAATAAGTGGAATATTTGGCGAAGTTTCCATTTATCTATGAAGTAAAGTAACTGTATGGTTGAATTGTGGGGATGTCATGAAACAAGGTCTTTTAGCCATGAAGCAAGCCGATCTTTAATCCTGAGTGCATAAGCCACCCTGCCTGGTCATTGGCCAATCTACACATCAGTCCATACAGCAACTCAAATCATGGCCATACAATCTCTGCTGGAAGTGGCTGAGTGACCTTATCTCAGCCACTTCCAGCCACTCAGCTCAGTTCATCTTCAGATAGAAGCCAAATGTGTTAGGTCTCAGGCCATCGTCACAGTGTCCCTCACTCTGAGAAAGTCACAGGTTTCAAGCCAACTGCTTACCTCTGCCTTTGGCACTGACTCATTACTCACTGCTAAGAGCATTATCTGAGACCTTCTACTTAGGTTATTACCCTCTGATGACCACAGTAAGGCCAATCATCATCCGTCAGCCAGTTCTAGCCCTGACTTCATTTCTGGGCAGCCAGAGTCCCAAGGCCCACTGCTCCTAGCCCCTTTCAGCAGGCAATCAAGCCCCGGTGACCTGAAAGCGTTCCTTCATTTCTTATTTCACAACCACGGGACAGTTGAGCCACAGAAGCTCTCAGGATGTCCCCAGTCCCCCCAGAGCATTCCCACAGGGGGACTTACTGGTGCTGTCATTGGAGGGACTGGAGTAGTACTCAGCCCGGAACCCTCTCTTCGCAATGCTGTGGTCGCTGATGAAGCGAATGGACATGAAGTTGGAGGAGGAAGTGAAGGAGCCACTGGCCCCATCACAAACTCGAGCAATGAGAGGGGAACTGTGGTAAGGGCCGTCGAAAACTTCAATATAATCATAGTTGCAGCCGCCTTCAAGCCTGCAGAGAGAGGACACACTGTTTTGGCTTCATTTCCTCCCAGAATTTGATGCAGGGAGTCAGATCTCAGGGTGGGGTCACACCTCTGTGCCAGAAACTCTGACAAAGTTCATCATTGAAAGTCATAGTTCTCCTTGGCTGGGCACAGTGGCTCACATCTATAATCCCAGCACTTTGGGAGGCTGAGATGGGTGGATCACCTGAGGTTAGAAGTTCAAGACCAGCCTGGCCAACATGGTGAAACTCTGTCTCTAATAAAAATACAAAAATTAGCCAGGCATGGTGGCATGCTCCTGTGATCCCAGCTACTTGAGAGGCTGAGGCAGGAGAATCGCTGGAACCTGGGAGGTGGAGGTTGCAGTGTGCCAAGATCATGCCACTGCACTCCAGTTTGGGCAACAGAGTGAGACCCTGTCTCAAAAAAATAAAAAAATAATAATTAAAAAAAGGAAAGTCTTAGGTCTCCTAAAATCAAGGGAGTCTCATCTTCCTCAGCCTCCATGCCTGGGTTTTAGTCCTGCCCTTTGCAGTCAAGCATATGAAATCTACAGCCCCTCACCTGTCAGCCCTTTACATCAAGAAAGGAAGGGCTCATATCCTAATTTAAACCATTTTTCTTCCATCGAAAAGTCCCTAGTGCCCCCACAGAATAAAATTAATATCCATGAGGTCATAGTGAGAGAAATAAATAATTGAATAAATAAATATTGAGCAAGTCAAATAATCTCTCTGAAGCTTTTCCTACTTACAAAGGCAAAATTCTGATCCATGTACCCTGAAGAGGGCTGTGGTGAAGCTCAAATAAAACATACAGCAAACAGCTTTGTAAAATGTCACAAATGGTGATGGTCATTTCTATCAAGATGCTGGTTAAAGAACTGGACATGGTTAACCTTCTCCCATAGGACTGCACAAGCTTTACGTGCAATCTTTGTATTGTAATGAAAAAAAGAATAAAATGATGGACCTTTTGCAAAATCCCAAATGAATTACTAAGGCAGAGACTCTAAAGCCCACTGCAAACAGAAATCAACAGAGAAAACAATTTTGTTCAACAGTGGCCGTTAGAGAGGAAATTAGTGCAACCGTTTGTTCGGGACACTAGAAAATACTGGTGCCTCTTCACGGTCATCTGGGCCACTCACCTCCTTGGATAAATCATACATTAATGTACTTTGGATGTCAGGCGCAGTGGCTTACACCTGTAATCCCAGCACTTTGGGAGGTTGAGGTGGGAGGATCACCAGAGGTCAGGAATTCTAGACCAGCCTGGCCAAAATGGTGAAAGCCTGTCTCTAATAAAAATACAAAAATTAGCCAGGTGTAGTGGTGTGTGCCTATAATCCCAGCTATTTGAGAGGCTGAGGCAGGAGAATCGCTTGCACCTGGGAGGCAGAGTTTGCAGTGAGCCGAGATTGTGCCACTGCACTCCAGCCTGGGTGACAGAGCAAGACTCCATCTCAAAAACAAACAAACAAAAAACATGCTTTTGGTCATGTCCCCTCTGCCTAAAACAATGACTTCTACTTGTGATTGGATGAAGAGCAGATACCCTATCCTCGGCAGCAGCAATTCCTCCACCTCTGCCTGATCCCTGGGGAACTCACATGAAGGAATGAGGGAGTGGAGAAAAAGGGTTCCACAAAGCAGATACGATTGTGTTCGTTTTGTTTTCCTGAGACAGGGTCTTACTTTGTTGCATGGAGCTGGAGTGCACTGGCGCTATCAGAGCTCACTACAGCCTTGAACTCCCGGGCTCTAGCGATCCTCCCACCTCAGCCTCCTGAGTAGCTGGGACTACAGGTGCAGGCCACCACGCCCAGCTAATTTTTGTATTTTTTGTAGATATGGGGGTCTCCCTATGTTGCCAAAACTGGTCTTGAACTCCCAGGCTCAAGTGATCCTCCTGCCTTGGCCTCCCAAAGTGTTGGAATTAACAAGCCTGAGGCACCATACCTGGCCAGTGTGCTGGTTAATAGGATTATTTGTGTTATTATTGCCCCTAAGACTGTCATGACTCCTAGCAACCATCTTTTTCCATTGGATAACATTTTGTAAATATTTTCACATCTCTCTCTCTCTCTTCTCTTTCTCGTGACCTTCCCGTAATGAGCAAAGAGAGGAAAGCAGGTATTTTATTCCCCTGTTTTGACTGAGGCTCAGGAAAGTTGAGTGACTTCCTGTGGTCACATAGCAAATTTGTGGCAGACCTAGGACTTGAAACCAGAGCTTCTGTCCACTCCAAGGCTCTGTGCTCCTACTCTCCACAGGAGGCCTCTGGGCTAGGTCAAAAACTTCTCCTGGACAAACATCTCTCCTGATGCTCTAAGTATCATTTATTCCCTCTTGAAAGGTCTGTGGGGCTCCCAGGCATTCTTCATGGTACACACTTACTGGACATCTCTGAAGATCACAGTCACACGGTAGTTGCTTTGAACCTCAATGTCCCACACACAGTTGGCATTGTTCGGATAGTTCCCAGGATAGAATGGGCTGGAGAAGTGTCCTGATGGTTGGTTCAGGAAGCCTCCACAGGAATAATTTGCTGTCAGGACAAAACAGGCATCCTGGTGGCCCCAGAGCACACTGCACTGTCACCTGGGGACTATCTTAAATTTAAATTACTTTAACAGTTTTAAAAATAATTCCCAAGACAGAAATCAAAGAAGAGCAAGAGGTGGCCTCAACTGAGACTGTCCACTGAGGGCTGGCGGGCACTCTTGCAGGGAGACCATGTTTGGGGAAGCCATCTCCTCCCCAGCTCCATTGCCACTGAGGGAACGGGAAGAGGGATTTCCAGGCCCCTCTGCCACAGACTCTTCATGGAGCTCAGAACTTACTGTTTGGATGACTGATGTTGGGAAAAGGAGCTGTTAACAGAAAGAAAAGATCAGGATCAGTTTTCTGGCATCCCTGGCCCAGCTGCCGCAGGGAGGATCTGGATATAGGCCTTGCCACTGGGTAGCTCACTCACCCTTGGGGAGGTCTGGAGGAGAGCGAATCCCAGCAGAGTGCGAAGAGGCTGAGATTGAGCAAAGCCTAGGGAAGGAGAGGTGCTCAGAGGTCTAACCCCACCCCAGATCAAGTAGGGAAAAGAGGGCAGCAATTACAGGGCAGGCAAAGAGGTAGAAACAGGGTGTCCCAGGCAGAGAAACACTGGTGGAAGAGATTTGGGAACCTCCGTATGAATGGAGAGGCAGAGGAGGGGAAGAGGGCACCAAACAGAGAGTGGATCATGAGGAGCCCTGGCGGTCATTCTGTGCTGAGGAGGGGGGTCACCACCAGAAGCCCCTGAGGAATCACTTGAAAGCAGATGCACAGGGGAGAATGGATGGGAGAAGACAGACCTGAAGCTGCTGCTGTGGGGGGCCAGGAAGACGATGACAAGGTGAGGGGGGAATGGAAGGCAAAGACCTGAGATGCCAGGGCCATGCTGGGAACACTCAGAGCAGCTCAGGGGCAGGCAGACAGGAGCTCAGCGTGCAGTGGGCCCTATTCGGCCAACACTGGCCAGGGTCTGGTGTCTGGGAGGACAGGCAGGCCTGACAGGTAGCAGGCCTTGCCTTGGGACTGACTGGAGATCTGAATCTTACGTGGATCAGGCCATATTGTCCTGGTGGCCAGCAGGGAAGGGGACAGGAGCTGTAGGGGATGGCACCACAGATGAGCTCATTGGAGAGTGAGCAACTTGCCCTGCACAGTCTAGGCAGCAGCAAGAAAGAGACCCAGACACCAGGGAAGTGGGATGGAAATTGGGAGGACTTACCAGGTGTTGATAGCTGGTATCCTGAAAAGGAAGAGAAGAAAAGCATAGGTTACAGATGTATGGCTTGGAGGAGGGACCAGAATGAGGCAGAGATATACCCACATGGCTCAAAACCTGTCCCCTCCTTGCTGAGGGTCCACCAGGTCCACCAAGTGATTGCTGTTGAGAAGCCTACACAGCTTCCCCAAATGCTCCCTAAGTCCCATCGTATTTGGGGTCATCAGGATCACAGCTGAGGTCGTAACCCCCATCACGCTCTACTTGATCACGATTGTTCTAAAATTATCCCAATGGTTGTCTGTAGCAAGTACAGTCATAGCCACCCCGACTCAACAATCAAGGAAACTGAAGCATAAAGAAGTTAAATCATTGCTATTGCTGGAGGTCCTTAGTCAGATGAGTGCTCAGCATAATAGCCGTGGGTCCAGAAACTGGCCAAAGATAAAGCAGGCCCCTGCATGCTCTTCTGAAGTGCACAGGCCACAGGGACACATTGACCAGCTCCTGCCTGGGCCACAGACACCATCGGCCACTGGCCTTAAGCTCTCCCTTTATAGCAGGTTACAGGTGAAACAGGCCTTCCATGGCATTGGGCCATACCTGAGCAGATGACACCAGCATCTTCATGGTGACGACAGTTGTGGGAGAACCAGCCTCGGTTCCGGCACTGCCAGAGAGTGGATTCTGTCCCCAAGCATTCTACATCATCCAGGGTGATGGGGCCAGAGCCAGAGCCAAAATAGGCGTTTCCAAGGGCTGAGAGTGCATGTCCACACCCTAGCTGTCTGCAGACTACCTCAGCTTCATGAATGGTCCAGGAGTCATCACAAACTGTCCCCCATGTGCCACGATGGTAAACTTCTACACGCCCGGCACATAGACCATAAGATGAGTTTAAACTGACCAACCTCAAGCTGGCATCTGAAAGACACATTAACTGAGAGATCATGACCATGTCCCACAACAAATGTCCCACCACAAGCCTCAAAGGCCAAGCACCCCACAGGCCATTCCCCACCCCCAAAGTCACCAAATGGAAATGTGGAAAAGTTGGGGTGGAGGCACTGGACTGCTCCATGTAGAGTTGAAAGGGGCTCCAGACATCGCCAAGCTCAGATCCCCTCATCTCCAGATGGAGAGGGGTGGCTCTGCAAGGAGAGTCACCAGGTCTGGAGAGTTGGTGGCAGATCCGAGGCCAGGTGTGACCCCCTAGTCTGCACCCTTTGCTGCCTTGCCAAGGGCCTGCCTCTCCTTGAGGCTCACACAGTCAGTGCCGAGAGAAGGAGAATGGGCAACGCATCACTGAGACCCTTCTTTGATTTCCTTGGGGAACCACGACGCCCCCAAAGAGGCAGCTGGGTAAATCCATTAAGCCTATAGGCATGGTCTAGTGTGCACTTACCGCTTGGGAAGGAGTTATACCAAGCCAAAAAGCCGATGTTTTGGAAACTGATGTCACTTCGAAAGTGAATGGTCATTCGGTTGTAAGAAGATGTGAATATCTGCCTGGTATCATTACAGATTTTCCCCAGCAGGTGACTGCTATTCAGTGATCCATCAAAGATTTCAACATAATCAAAACTGCAGCTATTGTGCCCCTCCAACCTGTATGGACAAAATGTATTCAAGTCAACACTGAAATTCCTATTGCCCCTCCATTTTATAAATAGTTTGGACTTTACAAGTGATGCCATTGAATATAGGTTTTTCTTCTAGCTTTTCCTCAATTAAGTCAAAAGACTTCCCAGTATTGCCTGATGCTTTACGGTAGGGATCAAAGCCACCAAAAGCTTGTCCATGGTACACGAGAGTGAAAAGCATCGCAGCCCAGGACATAGTCTAAACCACTGGGTGTGCTGCAGAGGGACTCACCCCTCACCAGATGTCCAGGCACTACTTACTGCAGATTACTGAAGCCCAGGTTTATGCGGTAACCGTAATTCACTTCTATTTCCCAAACACACTTAGCATTGTTGGGATAGTATCCAGGGTAGGATGGGCTGGAGAAGGTCCCACTGGCATTGAATAAGAAGCCACCACAATTTGAAGAGGGTCCTAGAGAGGAGAGAGGGGACATCTCCATTGCACCAGGTCTTCAGGTATTTTGTGACAAGCAGTCATCTTCTGTGTAAGTATCATCAGGTTTCATCCTCTGGAATTTATAACATGACTTAACTGTCCCTGTAAACAAGTCCCCTCTCTTGGGCCTGGTTCTAGGTGACCCAACATTAGGAGCTTTGATTCGAGTCTCTGCTTCCCCTGTTGGTCCTGGACAGCAATTCTCTGGGAGGAAGAGACCTTAGCTTCAGAGGGAGCATATGTCACCTCGAAGCAAAAATGCCAAGAAACTAACAAGGTGACTGCTATTGTTGTTCAATCGGCTACAGACAGGGACGTGGGATAACACTGGCTGAGCATAGCACTGACCATGGAGAGCAGTTCATAACACAGTGTACTCCCTAGCATCTTCCATGAGCACAGGACTCTACCATTTCACAAGTAGTGCAACGTGGGGTCAGGAGCAGGGTTTCCGCAACAGGTAGCCTGGGTTTGCATCTTGGCTCTGCCTCTATCAGCTCTATGATCTGGAGCCAGTTACTTAACCTTTCTGCCTCAGTTTTCTCATCCGAAAAAATGAGAGTGGTAAAGGCATCTGCCTCATCAGACTTTTACGGATATTAAATAAGATACATATATACAAGCATTTATACATACATGAGATATGTTTATATGTCTATATAAACTTGTAGTACCAGATACATGAGCACCCAGCAATATTAGCTATTGTTATTCATCAGAAAGGGATAAATACTAAATGGTCAAACATTTTGTTGGTTGGCTTATTGTAATAAAAACTTTTGAAAAACATGCACACTCGGTGATATAAATTAAAATGTTTTCTTTTTTTCTTTTTCATAACTCTTTTTGTTTACTTTTTCTAAGGGAGACAAGTCCATGGTTTTTAGCATACTCAGAGCTCTGAAACCACCACAGTCAATTTTAGATTATTTCATCACACCAAAAAAGAAACCTTGTACTCACTAGCAATCACTCCCCATTTCTCCACACCCTCCATTCCTGGCAACCACTGATTTCTCAGCATGTTTCATCACGTTGTAGCATAAATCAGTATTATTTTTTTTTTCTTGAAACAGAGTTTTTGCCCTTGTCACCGCCCAGGTTGGAGTGCAGTGGCATCATATCAGTTCTCTGTAACCTCTATCTCCTGGGTTCAAGCAATTCTGCCTCAGCCTCCGTAATAGCTGGGATTACACGCACCCACCCACAATAATTTTTTTAATATTTTTAGTAGAGACAGGATTTTACCATATTGGCCAGGCTGGTCTCGAACTCCTGACCTCAGGCGATCTGCCTGTCTTGGCCTCCCAAAGTGCTGGGATTACAGGTGTGAGCTACCATGCCCAGCCACTATTACATTCATTTTTATTGCTAAATAATACTTCATTGCATGGATGTACCATATTTGTTTCTCGATTCACCATGATGGACATTTGCATTGTGTTCACATTTGGCTACTATGAATAAAGTTGTTCTGAACATTCACATACAAGTTTCTGTGTGGACATATGTTTTCATTTCTCCTGGGTATATGCCTAGGAGTACAAGTGGTGGGTCATATGGTAACTCCAGGTCTAACCTTCTGGGGAGCCACCAAATTGCTTCTCAAAGTGTCCGTACCATTTTACATTCCTGGCAGCCATGCATGAGGGTTCCAATTTCTCCACATCCTCACCAACTCTTGTTATCATCTGGCTTTTTGACTATAGCCCACCTACCGGGTGTGATGGGCATCTCTCTTTGGTTTTCATTTGCATGTCCCTGATGGCTAATAACATTGAGCATCTTTCCAATGCCTTCTCTCCCATTTGTGTATCTTCTACAGAGAAATATCTTTCCAGTCTTTTGATCATTGTTCAGTTGGGTTATTTGACTTTTTATCACTGACTATAAGAGTTACTTATATATTCCAGGTGCAAGTCCCTTATCAGATATATGCTTAGAAATATGTTCTCCCATTTGGTGGGAAGAAAGTGCTTCTTGAAGGTCCTCCAGCCTGCCCACCAGCTCTATTTCTACACTGGGAAATGGTTAAGGGTACAGTCAAACTTTCAGAGACAAAGATATAAATTACATATTTCTAAAAATTAAATAGAAATAGTTATAAAATATGCTATTGTATATAGTCACTTAACATTATAAATTATAATTGAAAACAATGTTTTTGCCTCACAATAAGTAGCCGATTAACTAAATTATGGATCTCTATACAATGGAAAATGGTGTAGTCATTAAACCTTCTTCTATACAAATAATTTCAATGCTATAAAAATGCTAATTTTAAGGCCATGAAAAAGTGTTTTATACACTTAAATAAAAATGATGGATTATATAATGGGATATAAAGCATGTCATACTCTGTGTGTGCGAGTGTGTGTACGTGTATGGAATATATGCCAAAATGCCAACAGCAATTATGTATTTTTTCATTAATTTATCCATTCAGTCATTTGTTCTTTCAATAAATATTTCTCGAAAGGCAAACACAACGGTAGCAATAAGGATACAATATGAAAAAGGCAGACATGGCCCCTGCCTTCAGGAAATGCACAGTTTGGCAGAGAAGATAAACGTGATCTTTTGCAAATATATTTCCAGGTAGCTAACTCTTAAGCTTAAAACCCTTCCACAGCCTCTCTATCCTTAGGATAAAGATGGGAGTCTTAATCTACCCACAAGGCCCTGACTGATCTGGCTTCACCCAACAGATCTCCTGCAGTCCCTCCTTGTCCCCACCCCACCCTCCTTCAAAGAGCCAAGCTCCTTCCCACCCTGGAAGACACTTTGGCAAATGAACCTACTCCTCTATTAACTCCCAGCTTAAATGTCACTTCCATAAGGAACTTCCCCTAACTCCCCAATTGAGGAAGATCTCTACTAATACTTCCTCTTTGCACACTGAACTTTTCCTTGGAAACACTTGTAACAACTGTAATTTTCTAGTTGGTTGAGTATTAAATAATATTGTGAGCTCTGAGGAAAAAGATCAGTTTGTCTCTTATGTCATTCCATAATTTTACAACCATTCTTGGTGGCAGTTTGACCATACACACAGCAAGATCTTATAATACCTAACACAGTAAAAGTTAATATGTAGGAAGTACATTCTATGTACCAGGCATTATGTTGACATTGACTTTATTCCAGTAAACCTATTTATATCCTAAAGAAAAAATTAGTGAGGTATGCAAAAAAGTGTCTACAAAAACATTCTTCATCACAGAATCATTTACAGTAATGAAGAAATACAAACAAATGTCTAGCATCTGAGGATTTGTTAAATAATTCACAGCATAGCTGTATAATAGAATACAATACAGGCACTTAAAATGATGGTAAGAAAAGATTTCATAACACAGAAAAGTAGCCCTATCATTTTTTAAAAGCAATGAAAATCTAATGAAACATATCCATATAGTGAAATAAAAATGACATGGAAAAGCATAATTTGTAGTAAAATTATCCATGTACTATTTGTCTTCCTTCTTCTTCCCAAAGCTTTGGAGATGCCCCCAAAAATAAAAGACTTTAAGTCTATTATTTTAAGAATACTTATTTCATTGATTCAAATGAAGAGAAAATATTGTAGAATGACTTAGTTAGAACAAAAGTCATATTCCCAGCAGGGGAGATGTGAAGGGGGTGTGTGACTGCCGGATGAAGGGTGTAGTGAGCCAAGCCAGGGTTATGTGCAGATTGAGGAAGGCTGGGGGTGGGGGCAGAGCGTTCACTCATAAATAGCCATGCTTGGGGATAGGAAATGTATGACCTCTGGTTCAGGTAGAAAATGTGATACTTACTTGCAGTGGCTGTAGTTATTGGATGCCACCATTCTAGAAAAAAAAAATGAAGCTGTTTAGGATTTTACTAGATAATTTTTCCATTCCACAGTCATTTGCTTGATTGACACAGTTAAATCCTTTTCCTTAGTACAGGACTTCTCAGGGCCTTGACCGTTCCAGTTTACGCTGTTCATGGCCAGTAAGGTCCAGAGTAGGTGGCATCTCCCAATGTATTTGGCCCAGGATATTTTCAATGTGGCACAGAGAACACTTTGGGGATGGCTCCCTCAAAGTGAAGGAATTCTTTATTTGATAAATGTGTGCAGAAATATTACTTGGCCCTATTTCTAAAATGAAGGTCCCAGTTTTCCATGGGTTAATTTAGACGGTTATTTTTATCTGACATGATGGGAGGCCCAAAGCCTCCTTCCATAGCAGCATCTCTGCCAGCACTTAGCACCCTAAGCAGGTGATAGCAGGAAGCCACAGGGGCCCTCCGCGGTGAGCCAGACATGAGAATGACGGCAGTGGGAACTCAGCTCGTCACCCTCACCAAGCTCAGAGTCCTCAGAGAAAAATCACCCCTCAGGAGGAGCCGGCCCTACTCCTCCTACTTCTGGAAACAAGAGAAGGTGGAATTCCCAAGAGGAATATTGCTGGGCTGGGGTGGAGCAGACTCACCTGTCGTAGTAGAATTTATCTGGGAGGCTGCAAGGAAAAGAAGAAAACATGAGTCAGTCTCAGTGCCCAGGAGGATGAGAGAGAGAAATGCTGAGTGCCTGTCCTCACATGGTCACTTAGAAATACTCCCCAGGAGCCATTCAGGAAAATGGAATCATAGATATAAACCTTAAGGGTTTGTCTCAAAAGAACGTGTTGGAAGAATTGATTCCTACAGCCTAAAAGTAGATTGAACCCTTGTTTGCCGTAGGAACCTATGTAAGGAAAAAGCGAGCGCCTATCCATAAAATTCAGACACCAACAACATTTGCTCATGTTATTGCCCTGTTGAGGTACCAGAGAAACTGCCCATCTTGAAGAGGAGCTCAGGTTGAGGGGAAGCCAATGCCAAGAGAAGCCGTGTCTTGGAGAAAACCATTCACTAAAATAGAGGCCCAAGGTCTTGGAGGCCCACCTGAGCAGATGACCCCAGCGTCTTCACTGTGCTGACAGTTGTGGGAAAGCCAGCCACTGTGGGGACAGCTCCACAGGTAGGACTCATTCCCTGAGCAGGGCACGTCATCCAGGACAATGGGTTCTGAGCCCTGACCAAACCTGGCATTTCCTGGGGCTGCCATGGCCCAGCCACAACCCAGCTGCCTGCACACCACATTGGCATCATTGGTCTCCCAGCTATCATCATACACAGTGCCCCAGGAGACTTGGTATAGGACCACCACCTGGCCCTGACACCAGTCACCTCCATTCACCAGCCTCAGGACCAAACCAGAATTGGATTCTAGAAAAGACAGGAAAATTCACTCTCTCCTATATCTCCTAAAGGAAGAGGGTCTGAGGTCAGAATGATGTTCAGAATTCTTTTAGAAGGCCAAGGTTTCAGGGTCTCCAGTTAATGTTCTCCAGCAGCATAGACATTGGCCGAAGGCTGTTCTTCATCATGTTACCCTTAAGGGTTGTTTTCTAGAACCCTTGGGTGTGGACTGAGCTGTGCATGTCCTCCAGTGCAGTTACTCCAGTGCCCAGCAATTCAAGTGCTGAGCCTGGCCTTCAGATTCAAAGGTTAAAGTGCAGGAGCTGTCAGCCTGGATCTGCAGGGACCACTGGGCTCAAGCGCCCCTGCAGCAGGATGCTACCAAGATAGGCTCCCAGCCACCTGACAAGATGCAGCCTTAGAACCCGGTTCTTGGGAGATTCCACCTCCCCACCTCTGGCTGACTCACTCTGCTCACAGGGACCACTCCATTAGGCCTAAGACTTGTTCTTTCAAACCCAAAGCTTGTCCTCAATATGCAACAAAACCTGGACCCACTGAATACCATGAGCTACAGGGACAGTGGGCAGAAGTGACTATGATGACACCTAGTTGTGCCTACCTAGTTGTGCCTATGCCTGAGAGTGGAGGGAAAATGGCAGAGTTAGGCCTCCATGCAGGAAAGTCACATTCTAGACACAACACTGGGCCAGGCATCCTGATCCCTCTGTGTACCTGAACTCTGTCCTGTGAGCCTGGGAGCTGGGCTAAGATACTGACATTAGTCTAGGTCCTCTGGTCTTCAGTTTAGCATCTATAAAATGAAGCCCCTGTTCTCCCAAGAATATGTACAAAGGGCTCACCAACACATGAAAAGATGCTCAACATCAGTGGTCACCTGGAAAATGCAAATCAAAACACCATGAGATACCACCTTACACCCACTAGGATGGCCATGATGAAAAAGACATCATAACAAGTGCTGGTGGGGATATGGAGGAATCAGAATTCTCAGGCATTGCTAGGAGGAATGCAAATTTGTGCAGCAGCTGTGGCAACTGCTTGGTGTTTCCACAATAAATTAAACAGAATTACCCTATTACCCAGCAATCCTACTCCTAGGTATATATCCCCCAAAATTGGAAACAAGTGCAAAAAAATTGTATACTAATGCTCACAGCAGCGTTATTCATAACAGCCAAAAGATGAAAGCAACCCAAATGTCCATAAGCTGTTAAATGGATAGACAAAAGGTGGAGTAGCCATGCAATGGAATATTAGTTGGCAATTAAAAGTAACGGAGTCCTGATACATGCTAAAACATGAATGAACCTTGAAAACATATGTTAACTGAATGAAGCCAGACAGAAAAGGATATGATTCCATTCACGGAAATGATCAGAGTTCTTTAGCAAAATCTGCAGAGATAGAAAGCAGATTAGTGGTTGCCAAGGGCTGAGGGAAAGAGGAATGGGTTATGAATGGCTAAGGGGTAAGAGCTTTCACGTGGGGATAATGAAAAAGTCCTAAAACTAGATAGAGGTGATGGTAATGAACATGGCCAACAGCCAGGGAGAGGGAAGGTTCCATCTTGGGATAGAGGGGTAACATCAGCCAGCAAAGAGCAGAGAGTATCAAAGGAAAAGAAGGGTCCAACTGAGGGACTGCTACCTCTGTCCTAAACATCCTGCCTGTTTTTTATTCTAACAGAAACAGTCATTCCTATTTTTCTAAAAAAAAAAGTAGCATCTCGCAAGGTTTCTGGTAGAACCTAGTGCCACATCCTTCCCATCGCCCCTAGGGAACACGAAGATGGGTATAGAACTCTGATGGAGCCATCAGAGCTAATCGAGATGGTTTGGAAGAAAGCACCTGGGGACAAGCAGGTCAATCAGAGTCCTCCCAGGCCTTGTCAGAGAGAGGTACTGGGACAGATTGACTCATTCTCCTGGTGGGATATAGACTTGGGGCTGCCCACTGCTGTCTTCCAGCCATGTGAAAAAAGCAACTTGACAGTGAAGCCCACACAGATAAAAGAGAAGATGTAAGCAAAGCTTAGGAAAAGAAGACTTGGAACTTCTGGAAACAACTGTACCTGAAACTCCAGATCTACCACTAAACATTCTGGATACCCGAGCCAATGAATTCCTTTTTAGCTCAAGACAGTTTGAGTTGAGTTCCTGCCATGTGCACACAAAAGCATCCCTAATACTAGATCCTCTTTAAAAATCAATTGACAACTGGTAGATAAGGGAACCTTCCACTTTGGATGAGGTAGGGAGTGGCTGGAGGCTTCAAACAAGGCCCAGGAGTTTCACAGATCTGCTGAATGCCCATGCTTTGACTGGACTCAAAGGTCCTTCTTATAAGGGGTTCAAGCAGATTCTATCTACCATTTCCAGCTCAAAGGAGATTAACTCCGTGTCTGGATGTGATGACCAAGGTGAATGAAAACCAACCCTTTCCCTCACAGGTTTAGCAATTCACAAAGTCAGTGAGTCTCAGGATACCACTCCAGCAAAAATCCTATGTGTAATCTTCTAGCACAACAGACAGGCAATAACCAAGGCTTTGCCTGGAAGATCTCATGGGGCCTGCCCTTCCGACAACAGACTTGGTAGATAGTCAATGCACTGCAGTTCTTTGGAAGGAGCCGAAACTGACCAAGATCCACGTCACACATGCACAGATACCATTGTACTCCTAGCCCATATGCCCCCAATCCAAATGCTCCTTACAGGAGGCTCAAGTGAGAATTCCCTACCCAAAATATGTCCTCTCCTTTCCATGAGCCTCCTACCAATGAGAGGATCTCTCCCTGGCCCTGCTGTCTGTGCTGCATCCACAATACCCTCACCCAGTGCAACTCAGCAGGGGAGAAATGGAGCCCTGGGGAGCCAGCACTTTTCTCTTCTGCCTCTTCCTTGCACTGCCTCAGGGTGGGGATAAAGTCTGGGTTGTGGTTCGAGTTTGATCACCTGTCCTAAGTGACCACAGGGACACTAGGCAGTGAATTCATATGGATTCTGAGCAGAGAGCTAACAAGACTTCAGAAATATGGGAAACACAGAACAAGTTTTAAGTGAGGAGATCAGAAGGTAATTGGGGCTTTCTTCCTGAGCAAACTTCCTGCCAGGAGAGGAATCCCAAGGTCTTAAAGACCCACCTGAGCAGATGACACCAGCATCTTCACTATGGTGACAGTTGTGGGAGAGCCAGCCATTGTGGGGGCAGTTCCACAGGTAGGATTCGTACCCCGAGCAGCGCACATCATCCAGGACAATGGGTCCATAGCCCTGACCAAACCGGGCATTTCCTGGAGCTGACAGGGCCCAGCCACAGCCCAGCTGCCTGCACACCACATTGGCGTCATTGGTGTCCCAGTAGTCATCACACACGGTGCCCCAGGAGCCTTGATATAAGACCTCTACTCGGCCGTGACACCTGTCACTTCCATTCACCAGCCTCAGGGCCAAACTAGATTCAGATCCTACAGAAGAACACAAAAACTCTTCATCCATATGGATCATGAGATCAATGATCTAAGGAATGTTCCACACTCAGGGTACTTCCTGATGGCCAAAGTCTCTTGGGCAAGTAATCACCTTTGAGTACTTTCTGAAAAGAAGTTCAGTCTCATCATAGTGGAAGAAGTAGTGATGTCCTACTCTGCCCAGATCTATGGAAGCTCAAGTACTGGGGAAGAACTTGAAACCCCTCTAGAAGTGACAGGAATGGAAGCCTCACTCCCCATTCTGAGCTCCATTCTCACACAGGATGAAGCTGCACAGCTCCGGATAGGAGGGAGAGACCTGCCCCGTGGTAAGGAGTTTGGTGGGACCCATATGGTCCTCTCAGGCTTCTGGCAAAGAGCCAGCAATAACAGGACATTGCCAGACAGCTGTGGGGATGGGCACTGTCCCCTACTCAGCTCAATTGTGTACCAATTGGCTGAGGGCCAGGAACGAGAACCCAGGAGGATTAGGGAGCTGTCTTGAGCACCTGGATGAGGATCTTTCCTGAACACATAACACAGATTCCCAGGGGAGACTGGTCAACAGCAACTCCACCCTCCATCATCAGACCCAGGACCAGGTTCCCAGGGTGGCCACATTCCTCCCCAGGCAACCTGCAGGGACATGAATAGCGAAGGCGCCCACCTTCAGCCTCATTCCATCACTTTCTAAGGAAACGTTTGAAAGAGGTAGGCAGTGAGCCCTAGGGAGCGGTGAGAGGATGATGTACCTGTTGTCCATGCAGGAAAGTCAGTGGCCGGCCACGCATCTATAAATTGCAACAAAGAGAAAGGACAGAATTAGACTTGAGGGTGAAAAGCTCAACAAGGAAAGGTCTCTGGATCAGGCAAGCATAATGAAAACTATTCAGTTTCTGGTTCCTGCAACTTGGTCCAAGTGTCTGAACAAGTCTTCAGCTCAGTGAACTCGGCCAGGAACAAAGGCCTCACTGGAGACCAGTCCTATCCCTCCTAGAAGTCCTCTTCTGAGCCACAAAGGTTAGCCTGCACCGTCCACTGACACATGGACTGATGGGCACATCTGACACGATTGCTGAGATTCTAGCAGTCCCACCTGTTAAGGGAACCAAGGAGGCGCCCATTGGGCAATCAAGTTTCCTGGCAAAAGAAGACACAAGAAATAGTATCCCTCTCCCTGTGGAGCATGACGTCTGCCTCCTCTGCATGCAGATTTGGCGCTGCAAAATCTGGGGTGTTGGCAGGAGTGAGGGATGGAGGTAGCAGCCTGCACCGACATTGCTTGCCCATGGACAAAGGCATGTTTAAGGCTTCCGCGGACATTGCTTTCCTGGATGACGTTATCAACCACTCTCAATTCTCAGAAAGGAGAGATCAGATCTGAATATAAAGCAGCCAAAGCTCATTAAACATGAGGCCACTTCCTGAACCAGTAAGGGTTACCCACAGCACAGTATGAAACTGCTTCATGAAAGCTGAGATAAATGGAACAGAAGTCAGAAGCCTCCTCCATCCTCTGTGTCTGTTGAAGCGCTGTGCTGGGTCTCAGTTACAGAGTGGTAGGAA